AGACAGGCAGGCAGACAGATAGACAGACAGACCAACCGGCAGGCAGACAGACAGACAGGCAGAGAGACAGGCAACAGGCCACGGCTCTCCCTGTGCTCTGCGGGGTTTGCGTGGAGCCGCCTGGCTTGCTCGGGGGCACTTTAAGAGGTTCCCAGTCCCAGGCCAAGAAGGACTGCAGGACGTGTTTGTTTATTTTAAATTTAACTTTTTCTCCTACCGATCATTGACATGTGACGTTTTAGGACCAAAGACACTGTGTCACAGAATCATAGAGCTGTCAGGGTTGGAAGGGCCCTTAAAGATCACCTAGTTCCAGCCCCCTGCTATGGGCAGGGACACCTCCGTTGGCATCTCTAATGCCTCCTTGTGTGATTTGCCTCTTTGGGCTCCCCTTGTTCTTTTCTTTGTCACCGGTGAAGGTATTGGTGTCACTGAACACCGTCACCCAGAGAGCTCTCTAAGCCAGATGACGGTTCAGAAGGCTGACGGTTTGTTAGGAGTTGTGCACGTCTGGGTGCTGGATGAAAGGAGCGTGCTACATCGAAAAGCCACAACATATTTATGTTGTAACTTGTGTAGCATAAACACGCCTACTTTTACAATTGCTGGTTAGTGATAATTACTCTGTATATTATTGGTTAGGTATATGTAAATTAGCCTCACTCCTCACATAAATGACACGCTCCTTGCGGATGTGGGGAGTGAGTTTTCTTTGGCCCAGGTTGAGCGGGTGGCTGTGATCTCCTGCTGCCGCCTTTCCCTTTGGCCAAGTTTCAGTTTCTTACAAACTCCCCAGTCTTCAAGGTGAGAACTTTCGATTAGGAGACTTTCACTCCTGTTTGGTCTGAACATCCTCGATGATAAACTACTTTTATTATTTCTTAAGTACTAATTAGCCGGAAGATTTAATTGTTGCCTTTCCCATCCTTAAGCCAGGATTCCTTTCAGGGCAGATTCACCACCCTTAAGGCAACGTTAGTGGGTTCCGTCTGGTTCCCTGCACCCGGTCAGTGGCAGCCCTATGTGCTTCCAAATAACTTAAAGCACTTCAAAACACTTGAATTTTAGGCAAGATACCCTAAAAATAAAGCAGATCTTAGGCTTAGCTGTTCCAGAGGGCTTATCAGCCATTAGGTTTGAAAGGATCCTGTCTCTTAGATTTTCTAAAGTTTCTGCCTCTCCAGAGGGTAAGAAAGGCAATGTGCATACCAAAGTTGTTTTATTGGTGCCAGAGGAACAATTAGAGGATTTGTTCCAGTCCTGGATCTCTAATAATACTGTTAGAGATGTGTGCTTTGTTAAGTGATGTTGATCAGCTGAGAATAAAATTTGGCTGAAGCAGTTGCTGTCAAATACCTGAATTGGTGGTTTCATATGACTTTCACCTATCAGCAAATTGATGAAGGATATTTTGAAAATGATGACTTAAAACTATTTACACATCTTCCCCTCTAGATATCAGGGACACTGTGAAGTACAAAGAAGTCATGAAACAGTATCCTTTATTTGGTTTAAATAATGATATTTAAACTCTCAGATTTTGTGAAAATAGTCTGTCACTTGTGCACACTGTGGTGAAGGGGGCAGGAGCTGTTGGGGATTGCAGTAATGCAGAATATTGCATGAAAATCAGAAATTTTTGACTCTGTATTCCTTGTGAGGTTAGAAACTTGTGTTCTGCAAGATTTGATACTCCTTGGGTCATTTTCTATTGTGCTAAAAGCAGTTCTTCTAGTGGTACGTTTTAACAAGTGGTAGACACTGTGCACATCTTTTTTCCCCCTTTTCTTTGAAAGAGCTCATATCTTTCTTTGTGGAGGCTAGCACTCTTTTCCCCGTGTTTGTCCAAGTCTAGTTTTATTTGCTATAAACAAATACACAGATTCCTATTTGCCTGTAGTAGCTGGAGGGAACGATTGCCGCCTTGTTGGGCCGTAATCAAACTGACTGTTGTCTTTCTGAACCTCCAAGGTGCTGGACTGTTGGCTCTTACTGCACGGGGTTTTGGTGGCTGTGGTTGAGTGACGTTGTGCCGCAGAGACTGCTTCTGAGGGACATGGAGATGGCGATATTGGGCAGATGTTTGACCGTAGGACATCCCTTGTCTCCTATGTAACAGCTTGTATACATGGAGATAACGTAGGGTGTTAGGGTTCGACTTGCTAGTGTGACTCTTAAAAGTAATATTTTGAACAAGAATAAAGGTGGTGGCAGATAGGAGTCTTGATTTTTGCTGTTATTTGATTTGGGGTCACCAGCGTCACGTCCAAGTGCAGGTTTTGGTTTGGTGTGTGGGCGCACGGTTTGCTTTGCTCTGCCTGTCAGCCCTTATGGGAGGTGAAGAATCTCCTTAAATAGTGCTTAAGGAGGGTGTCTGGCCTCCTGCTTGGATAGTGAGAGTAGTGGTCCTAGAAGACCCTATGTACTGATGAATTGGTGCTGGTTCTTATGCAGTTAAAAAAAAATAATCCTTTGTTTCTTTGAACATAATTTGTATACAGATCTGCATACTAATTAGAAGATTTTGAGATCTTCATCTCTAAGATGACACTTGGAGTATCTTTTCAAAATTAATTCCTGTTATCATTTAAGTTTTGCTAAAAATTTATTTAAATTATCTTTTGAAGTATAAATTCTTAAAATTAAGTGCATTTAGGGCATTGTTAAATTCCGAGTGACCTGGCTGTGTAGTAGATCTTCCTGGTAAGACAAAGATGGGTTTGATGTATGCATGTGTGTGTATTTTTCCCTTTGTCCTGAATGGTAACACTTGAAGGTGGCAAGGGGAGGCCAAGGCACAGCCCCTTTTCTTTTTGTCAGCCCCACGTGTTTGGGCAGGAGAGGGAGCACTTTGTGTTTGTTATGCTACCACCTTACTCAGGAGACTCAGCTGTGTGTTAGGGGTATTGTCTTTGGCTGCAGGGTGTCCAGCGTGTGTTGTACACGGGCAGCTGTCAGCAGAACCTCTGAGGCCTGCGTAATCGTCATCTTTCCTAAATGACGCATCCAGATATGGACTGGGCCCAAATGGTGGAATAGTGACCTCTCTCAACCTCTTTGCTACACGGTTTGATCAGGTACGAGGTTGTTCCTTTGTGATACTGCGCTGGGGGACGGTGTGGGGGTTTCTGTGCTTGGAGGCTCGGCGAAAGCAGCACTTGGTCAGCCTCCTCACCTTTCCTTGGAGTTAAGAGTATTCTACACAATGCAGCCAAAGCACATTAGCTTTCATTTGAGAGATTTCGGCTTTTTTAAAACTAAAATTAGAAGCCATGTGTTCAGAACACTCTTTAGTCTTTGTACGTAACTGCTCTGTTGCACTGTGTTCACTACAGAAATCTTTCCTATGAATGCGCTGATTTTGAAGTAGGGAAGCTCACTTCTGGAAACAGCTTACGTTTTGCTAGGGTTGTTTGATAATTGACTGCTCTCTTAAATCGTAATGCTGAATCAGTGCTGGGGTGAGAACTTAGCTACCTGTCAAGACAGTGCATGGTCTCTTAGCTAAAAGGTGGGGAACAGCTGTGTTTGTTGCACCATTTCTTTAGCCCGAATACCTGACTTGGGAAACAAAAAAAAGTCCAAATAGATCCAGATTACAGTCCTGCTGGAGTGGCAGATGCTGCTCCGGATGATTCGGTAGAGGGGGGGGGTGTCCGGTGGCTATGAGGCGAAAGTTCACTCCTCCGGCCAAGGCGAAGAAAAAGAAGCCGCGGCACCCCGAGGTCCCGCGCCGACTCCAACCAAGGGCCGACGACGGCTCCCGCGTGGTTCCCCTCCCCCGTCCGGCTCTCGCGGCTGCGCGGCTACCACCCACCCGAAGTCGCCCGAAGTTCTGGCGAGCTCGGGGGCGGCTCCGACCATTTTCCCCCATCGTTAACCCATGATTACCCACTAACAAAAGCACCTGCCCCTGGAGTTAACACGGAATGAAAAACAAAAAAATTCTTCCAGCCGGTTTCAACAGATGAAAATAGAATTACACATTTTTGGTTACATATTGTAACCCAAGACACGCGTACATGCAGATGTGCAAGATAATGTAGTTTCTTGTGAAAGTTTCCTGTTGTGAGCCTAAATGCAAAGTGTGCTCCTTTCTCAATCAGGTGATGAAGTTTATTGAAAAAAGACAGAATGCATCCAAGTGAGTACATTCTACCAAGTTCTTCTTCTCTGGGTTAAAGGCAAAAAGGGTTCTCTGCATGTTTTCTAGTTGTTTTTCAGCCTTGGTATAAATTTTATGTGGAAAAGGGCATAGAATTACAACAGATAAACTGGACTTTCTTCAGATACCTTGAAGAAATGTCTGATGATTCAAGGTTGGCTTTTCTTATCTTCCATTAGGCTGTCATTTTTCTCACGCGTTGTTTGAACATATTATGATTAATTCTTCTGAAGAAGAATTTGCAGTACTAAGTGTCTGTCAAAGTGATGCCTTCAACTTTAATAGAATCTGAAGAGAGTACTTCACACAGCAAATTTTCAGACACACCCTTAAATCTTGTCACTGTTTGGGCAAAGCTCTTCTGATCTGTGACAGAATAATCATGTGATTTGCCATTACGTGCTTGTAGTAATTAGCCAGAACTGACCTTGTGCTATTAATTTTCCCGTATTGTTTGTTGGGGCTGACATGTTACCAGGTATGTTCTTATTGACACACCGGGACAGATTGAGGTGTTCACCTGGTCAGCATCAGGAACCATCATAACAGAGGCCTTGGTAAGTGTTCTCTGCGGCACTTGACAGTGAAGCCCTGTTAACAGAAGTGGCTGTTGAACGGCAGGTACTTCTAATTAAAATATCTTTCACTTTGTGTTTTCAGGCTTCCTCTTTTCCTTCAGTTGTTGTTTATGTGATGGACACCTCTCGCAGTACTAACCCGATCACCTTTATGTCCAACATGCTGTATGCCTGCAGGTAGGAAAAGCTGAATGTGCAGCCTGGCTGCTCTGATGGCTGTGTTGCTGGGATATGTGTTTTGGAGGGGACTTGTAGAGTGGTTTGTGTTGGAAGGGGCTTTAAAGACCTGCCCCCTTCTGTGGGCAGTGGCATTTTTCACTAGATGGGGTTGCTCAAGACCCTGTCGAAGCTGGCCTTGAGCACCTGCACTGATGCGGCATCCACGGCATCTCTGGGCAACCTGCTCTAGTGTCTCTCCACCCTGATGGTAAAAAAATTCTTCCTTATTTCCAGTCTAGACCTACCCTCTTTTAGTTTAAAACCATTGTCCCTTGTCCTTTCACTGGAGGCAGTGGTGAAAAATCTTCGTCCTTCTTATAAGCCCCCTTTAAATACTAGAGGCCATAATAAGGTGTCTCTGAAGCCTCTTCTCTAGGCTGAGCAACCCCAACTCTCTCAGCCTGTCCTCGCAGCAATCTCCTGGAGAAATGAGCTGCTCATGCCTTGGATGTGCATCGATTGGACTCAAGGATATTTAAGGTCTTTTCCAACCTAAACAATTCTATGATTCTATGAAGGCTAGTTGTATCAAGTGTACACACTGCCCATTGCTTGTAAAATTATTTATCAAAGGTGTATCAGGTTAGTCTAGTTTAAACTCATGGTAAACACATAATATTTTATTATGCTTTTAAATATTATTGATACTTGCAGTGATTCTTCAAGATTTGAAGGTGATTCTCCCCCTTTACTCTGCTCTTGTGAGACCCTGTCTCAAATACTACATCCAGTGCTGGTGTCCCCACCATAAGAGGGACATGGAGCTGTTGGGACGAACCAAGAGGAGGCCACAAAGCTGACCCAGGGGCTGGAGCAGCTCTGCGGCGAGGACAGGCTGAGGGAGCTGGGATTGTTCAGCTGGAGAAGAGAAGGCTTCGTGGGGACCTTACCACTGTCTTCAGGGCCTGAAGGGAACCTGCAGGGAGGCTGGGGAGGGACTTTTGACAGGAGTGTCCAGCGACGGGACAAGGGGAAATGGGCTGAAACTGCAGGAGAATGGGTTTCGCTTGGATCTGAGGAAGAAATTCTTCCGTGCGAGGGTGGCCAGACTCTGGACTAGATTGCCCAGAGAGGCTGTGGCTGCCCCCTGCCTGGAGATGTCCAAGGCCAGGTTGGATGAACCTGGAGCAACCTGGGATGGTTAAGGGTTAGATGATCTCTGAGGTCCCTTCCAACTTAGGCCATTCTAGGATTCTATGATATGTTTTGAGCATAGCATAGCATGGAGATTTTGATTCATTGTCTTCCTCCTTATACATGGATTTATCTGTTTTCTTTTATGTTACATCATGGACTAAATACCTGTGCAAAGGTCAATATATCTATAGCTATCATAATTCATGATAAATGAAAGGTTTTTGAAAATAAAAGGTTTTTGAAAAAAGCTATCAGTCCTTGTAAAAAGGTCAAAAGCTGTATCACTGTCACAGGAGTGTGCAAAATATGTCTTGTTACATGCTATGTGTTCTGACGTCAGTGTTGAGCAAAAGACACTAGAACATATATAGTGAAATTAATATATAAGCTCATGTTTCAAAGGCTTTACAGATTTTTTTGAGTTATTTGAATTCACCACCCTCACTGGAAAAAATGTCTTCCTTATACATAGTCTAAATCTAATCTCTTCTAGTTAAAAACCGTCACCCCTTGTCCTTTCAATGGTAATAGTAATGAAAATCAGCTGGGTGTGTTGAAGGAGATTTTGTATGTTAAAGGTATGCGCTTACGTCTTGGGAGAGGGGCATATTGTGTTCAGCTGTGGCGAACAGGATCTGGGTGAAAAAATACATTCTAATTGATGTGGAGGAAAAGAGTTATGTCTTGAAATCAGATTATTCAGTTTTGCGCAAGTCTTGTCTGCCTTACACTTCTTGTCTAGTGAGACTTAAATTATTTTTAATGGGTTTTGCTGTTGTTTTTGTTTCCCCCCTCAGTATCCTGTACAAGACAAAGCTACCTTTCATTGTCGTCATGAACAAAGTAAGTTAAACCTGTAGTTTCCATGTCCTAGTGAAGCATTGTTCTGTTTAGCTGGCTTTGCTTTAATGTCTTTGTCTTATTACAATAATAGATTTTCTGGAAAGAGAGACGGGAGGAAGCTGCAGGCTGAAAACCCAAGCTAAGAGGGGTCTTTATTCGCTTGCTCAGATGAATACACAAGAACCAGGGGTGGTCCCTTACACCCAAACATTTGAATTAGAGATGTTGCTAACAATATGGAAAAATGTTTTGCACCTTAACCCTAGGCTATAAGGAGACTTAACTTTGTAACGTTAGGGTGAGTTCGTTACTGAATCCACTTCTAGAGTCCTCTGCTTCCTCAGAACAATTGTCTTAATTATTGGTTATTTCTACTTGGCAGCAGGCTGATGTCTTATGGGGAACTGTGTAACACCTGCCTGAGAAAGGAGTCCCGCATGTCTTAGCAGGCAAATCTTAACAAAAGGTGTTTGATCCCGATCAGTGACACTAAAGGTATGCCAGTACTTGCCCAAAGGCAGATACTTGAATAGCCCAAGGTTGTTGTACCCTTAAAGGAATGCTTTCGAACTTAAGACCTAGCTGGCTCTTTAAACACAATTTCGCATATTAGAAGAATCCCATTAGGTTTTTGGTGTGAATACTCTTCCTTTTCCTCACAGACATCCTTTGTATTCAAGGAATTGCTCCCAGCATAGCAGGATTTGTGTGCGCGCGCACGTGCGTATCCCATACTTCCTTGAGAAAAGTCATACTTTGAATTAAGTTTTACCTCACACCAACCATTATTAATGTCTAATGTGCTCCAACTGCACACATATTCCCAAGTAACCTGAACTGTGCATGTCTTTCATAGCTGCTTGCTTACTTAGCAGGTTTTATGTATACTGTTCTCTTTCTAAATCTAGACAGTGATTTTAGAATAAGCTGTTAAGCTTTTTCTTTAGAAAAGGACATGGGGTAGGAAAATCATTCTCTCTTAAGAAAATTATGTGGCTTGAAAGACTGAAAGAAATGGGACTTCATAAGTATATTTAAGTAAAGGTAGGCTCGAGGCTTAGGATTCATAACTTCAAAATTCATTTGAATCTAATGTTTTAGTGTTTGGTAATAAGTAAAACCAACAGCATTTGAAGAATTTTTGACAAATGTTTCAAAACTGACTCTTGATAAGAATGGAGGAATCCCAAGGAACTGATATATGCACACTGACAAATGTGTAGGTTTAAGGAATATTAAGATTTGCGGAGGAAAATAAAATTAAATCAACTCTAGAAATTACAGTATTTATAGAATTTAATCAAACTAAATAGTCAGTCTGACCCTTGATGGATTCAGTTCTGTCTCAAATCTCTTGAGTAAAGCTAGGCAATACTTTGTATGTTTTCATCCTTCCCATTGCTGCTGGGAGATTAAATATATGAGTTTTAGACACCCCTGTGTCTAAAGGGGTTGTGATAAAAGTGGATACACATGTGTTAAGATAGTTTATAAATCTCTTTAATAGACTGTTTGTGTACTAATCCGTGTAAAATTATGGAACCATCTCACCTGTCTGTGCCCATCATCTTGCACTGAGTTAGGCTGTAATTTCTTCAGGTCAGAGCACAGCTCACTTCTTACGAAGCTGCTGTAGGCTACTGCCCAATGTGGAAGGGGCTCCCTTTCCCCACTGACCCCCAAGCCAATCAAGAAAGTGTGGGATCCTCCATGAGCACTGTTCTTGTCTGGCCTCAGTCATACAATCCAGTATTTACAACTTAAACTTTCCCTTACTGCACGCAACTTTTGAATGCTCCTTTCCGGTAAATCATAGAAGCCTTTAGACTTTCAATTGTTTCCTTAAACATGCCTTCTTAAAACTAGGGTGGTGGTTGTGTGTCTTAGAATTGTAAAATCGTAGAATGATTTTGCTTGGGCCTTTAAGACCTTTAAGGTCGAGTCCAATCATTAACCTAATACTGCCAAGCCCACTACTAAACCTTGTCTCTGAGCACGTCTGCATGTGTTATGTACTTCTGGGGATGGGGACTCGACCACTGCCCTGGCCAACCTGTTCTTGTGCCTGATAACCCTTTCAGTGGAAACGGTTTTCCTGATATCCGGTGTAAACCTCCCCTAGAGCAGATTGAGGCCATTTCTTCTTGTCACTTGGGAGAAGAGCTCGACCCCCTCCGGCTGCCCCCTCCTGCCA